CGAAAGTAAGGCTGATAATCGCGAAAGGCTGATAATCGCGAAAGTAAGGCTGTTGAGTTGTCGAGTTCCTCCAGCTCCTCAGATGGCGGGCAGGAACCCTGAATGCAGTGTGCATTTCCCCTCTGTATCGCCACACTGAGGCGCTGGAAAAGAAAGCTGGAAGCTCTAGGGTCCCTTGTTGTTTCAACGAGCTTAGAACCCAGTTCCTTCAAAATATATATATATATATATATATATATATATATATATATATATATATATATATATATATATATATATATATATATATATATATATATATATAAACACAGCCACTCTTCTGGTCAAAAAAGGTGTCCAGCAGCTGGAGACCCTCATCAATACTGTCAAGCAGTGTCCTCCCCCGCGATAGCAGCCTGACGACTAAATACGACCTCAAGACAGTATACATTTACTAAAAAAAAACAATCTTCCACTTACGGGGCTATTCATGCCCGTGCCACCTCTTGGGTGGCTTAACCTTCATCAATCACCTCATCTGCCTCATAAACATTTTTTTTTATTCAGTTACAACCCCGTTCCTGTGCCAGGTAAGTCCACTACGGGCTCACCATAGCCCGTGCTACTTGGAACTTTTTGTTCCTAGTAGCGAATCTTAAACAGCAGCAGCCCCTCACACACCTCCTAACGTCACCCACGTCTCAGTCACCGTCGTCTGGGGACCGCACACACCTGGCGCCAGCCATCAGATACACACGTGACTCAGTCTTATCAAAGATGTCATTTGCCATACCGCTGTCAGAGCTTCCCATCTCCAAGTGTGAACAAATACACAGGTGAGAGAGGGAAAGCAGCAGGTGAAGGAAGGGCAGCAGCAGGTGAAGGAAGGGCAGCAGCAGGTGAAGGAAGGGCAGCAGCAGGTGAAGGAAGGGCAGCAGCAGCAGGTGAAGGAAGGGCAGCAGCAGCAGGTGAAGGAAGGGCAGCAGCAGCAGGTGAAGGAAGGGCAGCAGCAGGTGAAGGAAGGGCAGCAGCAGCAGGTGAAGGAAGGGCAGCAGCAGCAGGTGAAGGAAGGGCAGCAGCAGGTGAAGGAAGGGCAGCAGCAGCAGGTGAAGGAAGGGCAGCAGCAGGTGAAGGAAGGGCAGCAGCAGGTGAAGGAAGGGCAGCAGCAGCAGGTGAAGGAAGGGCAGCAGCAGCAGGTGAAGGAAGGGCAGCAGCAGCAGGTGAAGGAAGGGCAGCAGCAGGTGAAGGAAGGGCAGCAGCAGGTGAAGGAAGGGCAGCAGCAGGTGAAGGAAGGGCAGCAGCAGCAGGTGAAGGAAGGGCAGCAGCAGGTGAAGGCAGGGCAGCAGCAGGTGAAGGCAGGGCAGCAATAGGTTAGGGAAGACAACTGCAGATGTCAGAAAGCAACAGCAGATGAGAGAAGATAGCAGCAGGTGAAGGAAGGGCAGCAGCAGGTGAAGGAGAACAGCGACAGACCTCCAGTGATAACATATTATCATGAAGCAGTAGAAGACGGCTACAAAGCTCTTTTCCTAATCTTGAGAGATAAGAGATATAACCCCACGACACATGTGCTCTCCCATACACACACATGCACCATAATAAAGACAGCTGTAGCAGGTCTATTGGGGTCGGCGAGGCATCCCTCTTCATACCCAACCACACTCATTCACACAAATGTCTAACCTACGCTTGAAACAATCCAGCGATCCCATCTAATATGATACCAGGTAATTTGTCCCATAAACAGGCCTATTTCCAAGCCAGGTGTTTAGTATAAGATGGTGACCATATGGAATCAACTACATGGAGGTATAAAAGAAGTTAATACAAGAAATGGTTTCAAAAGTATATATGGCAGGAAAGGGATGGAAAAATACTTAAGAAATCCAACATGGGACTTCGGAGCTCGAGCTCGACCCTGCAAGTTGGGTGCTGGCAATAGGAGGTCCACACAATGCGCCAATAGGTAAAGGAATTCCTGCTGGAATAGAGAAAAAGATCTGGACAAGATTGAACAAGCATTTCCGCACGCATTTACGAACCTGCACATCTTATCCCAATCTTTGGTGGCTTTGTTTACATTTATTAAACACTTTACGAGCATCCAAACTGCAACTTCAAGTTGTATTATTGTTATAAACAGCCTGCTAGTGGTTTGCACCTCATGAACTGTTTAGTATATGTACACAAAAATCCGCCAAATATTGAGAAAAAACGCACATATTTGTAAGTACTTGTGTAACCGATCTATGACTCCGGCCCCTGAAGGTTGGCACCACACAGCACCTGTCTCCTTAAAGCCCACATCAAGCGGGCATCATCAGCTGCGTGTGCAAAATGACCCAGCACTAGAACTGTCTTTATAAACCTGAATATAAAGAGTTTTTATATTCAGGGCCTTGTCTACAGTATATGTTTTTTTTTTTTTGAGATATATACAAGAGTTGTTACATTCTTGTACAGCCACTAGTACGCGTAGCGTTTCGGGCAAGTCCTTAATCCTATGGTCCCTGGAATACAATCCCCGCCGCGAAGAATCGTTTTTTCATCCAAGTACACATTTTACTGTTGCGTTAAACAGAGGCTACAGTTAAGGAATTGCGCCCAGTAAATCCTCCCCGGCCAGGATACGAACCCATGACATAGCGCTCGCGGAACGCCAGGCGAGTGTCTTACCACTACACCACGGAGACTGTTAGATGTTAGATCAGCTCTGGAACATGCGTTCCAGCGTGGCATCTTATCCGGCTAAACACACAACTATGTTGATTATAACAATAAAAGCCTTCGAGTGTGAATCTCCGAAGCTCGTAAGCTGTTTAATAAATGCAAACAACCCCGCTATCATTAAGAAAAGATATACAGGTTTCGTAAGTAGTTACGTAAATGATGCAGTCTGGCGCAGGACAAAGCTCGCCCGCACAGGGAGTTCAATGTTATCAGCTTATCTTTATAATCGACGAAGCCAATTTGCTTGTTTACTCTTGTTAACAAGGTCAAAGGTCGAGGTGGTGTGTGTGTGTGGGGGGGGGGGGGGGCCGCGGCGGGCCACGTGGCGGCGCCCCGGCCCACTTTGTTAAGGATAACGATGATAAGGCCAGATTCACGAAGCAGTTACGCAGGCACGTACGAACCTGGGGCCAGATTCACGAAAAGCACTTACGCAAGTACTTACGAACGTGTACATCTTTCCTCAATCTTTGACGGGTTTGGTTACATTTATTAAACAGTTTACAAGCATGAAAACTTGCCAATCAACCGTTGTTATTGTTATAAACAGCCTCCTGGTGCTTCGGAGCTCATTAACTGTTTAATAATTGTAAACAAAGCCGCCAAAGATTGAGAAAAGATGTACAGGTTCGTAAGTACTTGCGTAAGTGCTTTCGTGAATCTGGCCCCTGTACATCCTTTCTCAATCCTTGGAGGCTTTGTTTACAATTATTAAACAGTTAATGAGCTCTGAAGCACCAGGAGGCTGTTTATAACAATAACAACGGTTGATTGGCCAGTTTTCATGCTTGTAAACTGTTTAATATATGTAACCAAACCCGTCAAAGATTGAGGAAAGAGGTACAGGTTCGTAAGTATTTGCGTAAGTGCTTTCGTGAATCTGGCCCCAGGTTCGCAAGTGCTTGCGTAACAGCTTCGTGAATCTGGCCCCAGGGCAGTTGCCTGGTCAGGCTACCCACCTTTATGCAAGAATGTCACACTGGCCGCCCTAATAAATGTACATACGCGCGCGCGCGATACCCTCCCCCCCCCCCCCCTCCATATGGCTTTTTTTTTAACTTAATATTTAATCTTGCGACACGCAAGCTGCGTCACGCGCACCACGCAGAGAAAGCAAGTGCAGCGTCACAACACGAATATTCATCGCGGTGAGCCCCCTATCTTGACAGGTTATCTTGAGATGATTTCAGGGCTTTAGTGTCCCCGCGGCCCGGTCCTCGACCAGTCCTCCACCCCCAGGAAGCAGCCCGTGACAGCTGACTAACACCCAGGTACCTATTTTACTGCTAGGTAACAGGGGCATAGGGTGAAAGAAACTCTGCCCCATTGTTTCTCGCCGGCGCCCGGGATCGAACCCGGGACCACAGGATCACAAGTACAGTGTGCTGTCCGCTCGGCCGACCTAAGCAACAATTCATCAACGATACATCAATAAGATCAGAGGCTCTATAGATGGCTACACGTGCAACCTGCTACACTGTAAATGTAAACAGAGACAAAGATTCGTGCCCTGGAGTCGTGCACACCTCAACACTCTGCTCTCGTGCTGCACGTAAGGCAACACGAGATATAACACTCTAATATAATATGTCCGGTTATATAACACTCCACTTGTTATATTACCGGACATATTTTTATGCAAATATGCTATTGCAATGTCGAATATTTTTTGTAGTTCATTCATTAGGCTGAGAAGCAGTGAAGCGAAGTCAGATAGTGAGGTAACGATGGGAGAGAGAGTGAGGTAACGAGGGTAGAGAGTGAGGTAACGATGGGAGAGAGAGTGAGGTAACGAGGGTAGAGAGTGAGGTAACGAGGGTAGAGAGTGAGGTAACGAGGGTAGAGAGTGAGGTAACGAGGGTAGAGAGTGAGGTAACGAGGGTAGAGAGTGAGGTAACGAGGGTAGAGAGTGAGGTAACGAGGGTAGAGAGTGAGGTAACGAGGGCAGAGAGTGAGGTAACGAGGGTAGAGAGTGAGGTAACGAGGGGGAGAGAGTGAGGTAACGAGGGTAGAGAGTGAGGTAACGAGGGGAGAGAGTGAGGTAACGAGGGTAGAGAGTGAGGTAACGAGGGTAGAGAGTGAGGTAACGAGGGGAGAGAGTGAGGTAACGAGGACAGAGTGAGGTAACGAGGGGAGAGAGTGACGTAACGAGGGTAGAGAGTGAGGTAACGAGGGTAGAGAGTGAGGTAACGAGGGTAGAGAGTGAGGTAACGAGGAGAGTGAGATAACGAGGGGAGAGAGTGAGATAGAGTGCTGGAGTGAGATAAGACACACACACACACAGTGCCACCATGACGGAGCCACTTTATCAAGACGCAGCTCCTAATCTCGACTTCCCACTCCGTACAAAATACAACTGTTCTGCCCAGCCAGAAATGTGTGACCCTAAGTAACCCTCACCTAACCTATCGAGGCCGATGTGAAGAAAACGTTAATTTCACGGTGCTGTACTTTGTACTAATACGTCTCATTTGTAACGAACGGGTCTAATCAGTAAGTATGCGACGAATTAGGTAAGGGGATGGGGGGGGGGGTCACGAAGGAGGGTGACTGTGCCCAACCTGTTCTCACACCCCCATTCTGACGCCGTCGACCAATAACGTCAGAATCCCGCTGCTTACGTGACATTAAACACACCGTAATGTTGACGATTGGTCGTACTCATGAGTACCTGCCGCGATAAATTAGGCAGGTAGCCTAATCCTGGACTCTATATTAACCGCGCCCCTGACACACCTGACACTGGAGACACCTGGGACCCAAGACCCCACCCACGACACACCCGACTCTTGTCACCGCTATGCCGACACATCTACATTATCAGCCAAACAGAAACAAAGTTCCCGCCTCCTCCTCCCGCCTTCTCGTCTCTTTGTCACTACGAGCTTAGATTTTTTTAAATTTTTTAAATTTTGCCCCGAGGGGCGAGTTTATTGGGCAGCGCCACTCATCCTGTGAGTGGACACACCACCATAGTGACAGTATTGGGCAGCGTCACTCATCCTGTGAGTGGACACACCGCCATAGTGACAGTATTGGGCAGCGCCACTCATCCTGTGAGTGGACACACCGCCATAGTGACAGTATTGGGCAGCGCCACTCATCCTGTGAGTTGACACACCGCCATAGTGACAGTATTGGGCAGCGTCACTCATCCTGTGAGTGGACACACCGCCATAGTGACAGTATTGGGCAGCGCCACTCATCCTGTGAGTGGACACACCGCCATAGTGACAGTATTGGGCAGCGCCACTCATCCTGTGAGTGGACACACCGCCATAGTGACAGTATTGGGCAGCGCCACTCATCCTGTGAGTGGACACACCGCCATAGTGACAGTATTGGGCAGCGCCACTCATCCTGTGAGTGGACACACCGCCATAGTGACAGTATTGGGCAGCGCCACTCATCCTGTGAGTGGACACACCGCCATAGTGACAGTATTGGGCAGCGCCACTCATCCTGTGAGTGGACACACCGCCATAGTGACAGTATTGGGCAGCGCCACTCATCCTGTGAGTGGACACACCGTCATAGCAGCATGTACAACACTCCCCAATAGGAAGAAAACCCGCTGGGTTGTTCATCCTGTCACTTGTACCCAGACACAGCTGGGACTTGCTTGTGAAGCTCCAGTTAACGTTACAGCCGCCAACAGTCAACAGTGTGACGTTATCCGCAAGTCCAACACACACACACACACACACACACACACACACACACACACACACACACACACACACACACACACACACACACACACACACACACACACACACAGCTCTGCTTCCTTGTCAACAAACTTGATTCATAGCATTTACATTCCTTGAACTATATTATTATCGAAATAAAGAAATTCTTAACAATTCGTAGGTACACCTACTGATAGATAACATACCAGAGATAGTAGCAATATGTACTCACCTATTTGTGCTTGCGGGGGTTGAGCTTTGGCTCTTTCGTCCCGCCTCTCAACCATCAATCAACTGGTGTACAGATATCTATCATACCTACATTTGAAACTGTGTATGGAGTCAGCCTCCACCACATCACTGCTTAATGCATTCCATTTGTTAACTACTCTGACACTGAATTTTTTTTTTTTTTGTAACGTCTCTGTGGCTCATTTGGGTACTCAGCTTCCACCTGACGTGGGGACGATACCTGGTAGATATCGTGTGTGCGCTTATCACAAGCATATCAGCACTGAAAGAACCCCGACGTATTGACACTTTTTTCCCTATGATAGCAATGGTTATCCTTATCTGGTAAAAGTTACTGTGCTCGGGCAGAGGTGCTGCGCAGGACTCTACTTGATTGCGGCAACAGATAAACAACAGCTGAGAAGATAACATAAAATATATCTTTAATAATTTAATGAATTTAGATTTAGATATATTAGAAAGAAAATTGTAAATTAGTTTCGTTTATTAACCATCAGTGCATTAGAATACAAGAGTTATGATAGAATATTCAAATTGAAATTCGAAAACAATATTCATTGTTTGGGCATTTATAATTGAACTAGTTTACACAAAAATACTGTATAAGGCTGTTGGCCTTACGGCACTACGGGATAACATAACAAGACATGGGATATCTTGATTATTGTAAGTCACACAAATACTGTATACGGGTTGACCAGACCACACATTAGAAGGTGAAGGGACGACGACGTTTCACAATCGACTTGAGAATGGTCCAGGACGGACCGAAACGTCGTCGTCCCTTCACCTTCTAGTGTGTGGTCTGGTCAACATACTTCAGCCACGTTATTGTGACTCATCGCCTGTATACGGGGTTGGACGCAGGCAAATGGGCGACGCCTCGCCAACCTGTCCTTCTAATAGAGAGTCGCATTTTGACCAATACTTTACCCTAAGGCCAAAACCTGTCCTACTAGAAAATGGCAGCGGCTCACGAAATTGACATATTGTCCCGTTTTCTGTTTTGGGTCCTCTGGTAGGTTAGGATAAGGGCACGTTACCGTACAATAGTTTCTTGATGTCTATACAGTATACCTAGGTCATAAAAGTATTTGTGTACGTCTGATACCATACTACTTGTGTAAAGGAGGAAATGTATATGTGTATCTCTCAGAATGTTTGGTAATATGTTTATTGTTTGTGATGTGTGTCTATGTATGTATTAACACGATGTACTGAACGGGGTGAGAATAGCTTGAGCTACCTCATCCCTATGTGTATTTTACCTCAATAAACTTATTTCAATTTCAATTTCAATAGTTTTTTGACGTTGGGAAACCTTAGGAGGACGGACTGGCCTTAGATGAGTCAATAGGCCTTTTGTAGATTCATTAATTCTTATGTTTTTCTCTGATCTGCAGACCACCGCCAGAGCGCTGCAACACTTCCAGGAAAGTGTTCCTTAACACATTGAGGCCTCAACACTGACACCAGTTATCACTGAATCACTACTGAGATATCAAAACAAGCACCTCTGTAACACCCATGCGAGTATTAACCTCCATTGCTGCTATCAGGCGGCTGTGCAGCTCAAAACTAGATATATGTTTCAGGATAACATGGTAGATTTTTACCATATTTCGATAACAAAATATTAATATAATATACAAAATTGTTCAAACCCTTTCTGAGTAAGTCATCGTGGGAATGGGGCCACCAGTTAGTTACCTTACCTTCCCACATAACAATAATGGGGCAAGACTTCTTACCCATTAACGCCTCATCTTGGAGGCAAACCTGCGAAGGTGCTCACGAATTATGGCGCGAAAGCCATTTGTTTAAAAAACGGAAAGCACGTTGTTAATCCGTGTTTTTTTCAATAAATAATAAAGGATAAGAATGTAAACACAAATGTCAGTTCCTACAGGAAGAAAAATATAGGTAAATCTACGATCTCTCACTAAAAACAGCAAGGTGGATGTATATATGAACCGCAAGACGTTAAAAAGGAAAAGCGGTTGGAATGCTAGGCACCCGTCGCCATCTCACCCTTGACCAGTTAACTGACCAGAAACTGGATTTTCTCTTAAATCTTTGCTCTAATAGATGCCAGACCCTTAACGGGCACGCCGTGTCGGGAATAGTGATGGGCATTCCACGGGGTGGCCGAAGGGAATTCTTGGGGAGTCTTTCCGTGGGCGGCGGAGCAGGCAAGAGTGCGCGCGCGCCCTGCTTGGCCGTGAGGGAATGCGGCCTCCACAGAGAACGGACACGGGCTCAGGCAAGACTGAAAAGAACGCGCCAGTCGTGTGCTTGCTCATAATCGCTGAGATGGCCAGGGTCATCTGATGTATACACACCGTGTGTACATCAGAACGCTGATGTATGCACACCGTATATACATGAGGGGCCAGATTCACGAAAGCACTTACGCAAGCAGTTACGAACGTGTACATCTTTCCTCAATCTTTGACGGCTTTGGTTACATTTATTAAACATTTTACAAGCATGAAAACTTCCCATTCAACTGTTGTTATTGTTATAAACAGCCTCCTGGTGCTTTCGAGCTCATTAACTGTTTAATAATTGTAAACAAAGCCGCCAAAGATGGAGAAAAGATGTACAGGTTCGTAAGTGCTTGCGTAAGTGCTGGCGTGAATCTGGCCCCAGAACTCTGATGTATATACGGGCTCACCATACCCCGTGCTACTTCGAACTTTTTGTTCCCAGTAGCTGAATCTTAAACAACAATAACTTGATGTATATACTTCACCAGTGCTTTCCTACTTCTCGTTTGATATTCACTACCACATTTTTGTTGACATATTTTCTTCCGACTGTGACACATACATATGCAATTAAACTATGTTCGTCCCTTGGATAATATTTTAGCTTCATCATGCTAATCATCTGAAAGTATACCTAGTGTTGATGCCTCACTAGTGAGTCTAATAGAAGTGGGATATTATGCTCTGCTCAACCAGCTCGTGAAGCACTTTAAACTAACTCTATCAACCAGTTTTGTTTGGTGAGTATATATTTCTGACTCTCTGGACTCTACAGCTACAGCAGATTGTATTATATGTACCTTGCTATCTACATTTTCAACTCTAAATTAATATATACCTACCTCCATTCTCTCTCTCTCTCTCTCTCTCTCTCTCTCTCTCTCTCTCTCTCTCTTTAGGACCGTAGGGGCAGCCACAGATCATGTCTCTTCACAATGCAAGCTTCATTCCATCATTATTTACATTTACATCCTTACTAATCTGATCTAGGAAACATTTATTTACCTTTTTAAAAATCCGTGTAATGACTGCAAAATTTCACGCTTATAACTATTCCTGCTCCTTCCTGTTCCGAGTAGAAATGTTAAGAAACGGTAAAGTGTTACACTACTGATATTTTGTTATTTTCGGAGTTTGTTTGGTAAACTCCAAACTGGTAAACTCCTCTGGACTGGTAAACTGTTTATACCTAACACTGCAAAGCCGTAATGACTGGAAATGTCGTTAATTCGAAAATAGTTCTCGCTACTGGTAAATAACGACGTTGGTAAAGGAACTGTACCTTGATGGGGGTTCTGGGAGTTGTTCTACTCCCCAAGCCCGGCCCGAGGCCAGGCTTGACTTGTGAGAGTTTGGTCCACCAGGCTGTTGCTTGGAGCGGCCCGCAGGCCCACATACCCACCACAGCCCGGTTGGTCCGGCACTCCTTGGACTAATAAATCTAGTTTCCTCTTGAAGATGTCCACGGTTGTTCCGACAATACCTTATTATGCTATAATGTTGTCTATATTCCTACTTGCAACTAATCTCATTATTTTCATGTAATTACTAGCCAATCCTCTTTTACGTGATTTACCTTGTAGACACCAACTAAGTCATCCATGCTATGTCATACTCGTCATGATCCCAGCGTGCTTCCAATTAGTTTTCCTTCATACTCACAGTGTGACCTTTCATATTGACCTTTAACCCTTGCACGCATCCTTTGGGTATTCACAGTGATATTATTACACACAGTTGAAGCAACGGTTATTGGATCACTGTTTAGTTCACTACATTCACCCTATACTTATCCTGAGTGGTAGTGGACCCAATACCCCCATCCCATCCTGTGAGTGATAGTGACCCCTATACCCCCATCCCATCCTGTGAGTGGTAGTGAACCCCATACCCCTATCCCATCCTGTGAGTGATAGTGACCCCTATACCCCCATCCCATCCTGTGAGTGGTAGTGGACCCAATACCCCCATCCCATCCTGTGAGTGGTAGTGGACCCAATACCCCCATCCCATCCTGTGAGTGGTAGTGAACCCAATACCCCACATCCCATCCTGTGAGTGGTAGTGAACCCTATACGCCCATCCCATCCTGTGAGGGATAATGGACCCCATACTCACCCTGTGAGTATGGGGTCCAACCTGCAAAAAAGTGCCCGGACCAACTGGGTTGTAGTGGATATGTTGGCATACGGACTGCTCCAAGCAACAGTCTGTTAGACCAAGTTATCACAAATCAAGCCTGGCCCCAGGCCGGGAGCTTGGAGAGTATAATACAATAACCCACTCCAGGTATGCTCCAAGTATGCTGTCTCCCTCCTCTAGAGTCGCTCTGCTGACATGAAAGCAATCCTCATATACAACAATGATCAAAAGCACTGATCTATTAAAATGCAGAATAACTCAAATTTATATGAGAAATAACAGCTGTATACACAATAACACTGGGTTCCTATTGGTTATCTTGAGATTATCTTGAGATGATTTCGGTGCTTAGTGTCCTCTCGGCCCGGTCCTCGACCAGGCCTCCACCCCCAGGAAGCAGCCCGTGACAGCTGACTAACTCCCAGGTACCTAGTTACTGCTAGGTAACAGGGACATACGAGTGAAAGAAACTTTTGCCCATTGTTTCTCACCGGTCGCCCGGGATCGAACCTGAGACCACAGGATCTCTGTAACTAGCTGACATTGTAACTATAAGGTGTGAAGGATTGAAGAAATTGTTTATGTAATAATCTAAGATGAGGTCTGATAAAGACCTTTTGTGCCCTCTGTAATGCTTTTGCGCTACCGCTCACAGGATGAGTATGGGGTGCACAATAAACTAGCTGCCTTCGGCGGCAACAATCAATCAACCACAGGATCACGCGTCCAGTGTTCTGCCCGCTCAGCCACCGGCTCCCCGGGTAAGGGTGAGGATAGAGGATGACGGGACCCCCAGAGCCAAGGTGGATAATGAGAAGAGGAGGAGGAGGAGGTGGGAGCGTGTACTAGCCATGAAACATAGACGAGAGGAGGAGGAGGTGGGAGCGTGTATTAGCCATGAAACATAGACGAGAGGAGGAGGAGGTGGGAGCGTGTACTAGCCATGAAACATAGACGAGAGGAGGAGGAGCAGGTGGGAGCGTGTACTAGCCATGAAACATAGACGAGAGGAGGAGGAGGTGGGAGCGTGTACTAGCCATGAAACATAGACGAGAGGAGGAGGAGCAGGTGGGAGCGTGTACTAGCCATGAAACATAGACGAGAGGAGGAGGAGGTGGGAGCGTGTACTAGCCATGAAACATAGAGGAGAGGAGGAGGAGGAGGAGGAGGGAGCGTGTACTAGCCATGAAACATAGAGGAGAGGAGTGAGTAATGAAAGAGTAGTGGCAAGCACAACAACACACTTAATAACTCCTACACACGCACTCACTACACCCGCCATCGACGCTAATGAAAGACTTGCGTACATCAAAGCTACATCAACTTAACAGGTAGGAATACATGTGAAGGACAACGTTAGTGACAACCTGAGTAGATAATGAGAGAGTGAGCCCCGGCGCGGGGTGGAGAGGGGCTTATCATGCACTAGCGACGGCAGTGTGGTTCCCGCCTTACTGCCCTGCCCCCCCCCCCCACCATCACTCCCACGCTAACTGCTGGCTTACCTCCAACACCAAAAGTGCCAAGACATGCCTCACCAAGGTTAAGCCAGCAACAACAGCACAATGTAAGCCAGCAACACCAGCACCATGTAAGCCAGCAACAACAGCACCATGTAAGCCAGCAACAACAGCACCATGTAAGCCAGCAACAACAACACCATGTAAGCCAGCAACAACAACACCATGTAAGCCCGCAACACCACCACCATGTAAGCCAGCAACAACAGCACCATGTAAGCCAGCAACACCACCACCATGTAAGCCAGCAACAACAACACCATGTAAGCCAGCAACAACAGCACTATGTAAGCCAGCAACAACAGCACCATGTAAGCCAGCAACAACAACACCATGTAAGCCAACAACAACAACACCATGTAAGCCAGCAACAACAACACCATGTAAGCCAGCAACAACAATACCATGTAAGCCAGCAACAACAGCACCATGTAAGCCAGCAACAACACCACCATGTAAGCCAACAACAACAACACCATGTAAGCCAGCAACAACAACACCATGTAAGCCAGCAACAACACCACCATGTAAGCCAGCAACAACAGCACCATGTAAGCCAGCAACAACAACACCATGTAAGCCAGCAACAACAGCACCATGTAAGCCAGCAACACCAGCACCATGTAAGCCAGCAACAACACCACCATGTAAGCCAGCAACAACAGCACCATGTAAGCCAGCAACACCAGCACCATGTAAGCCAGCAACAACACCACCATGTAAGCCAGCAACAACAGCACCATGTAAGCCAGCAACAACAGCACCATGTAAGCCAGCAACAACACCACCATGTAAGCCAGCAACAACAACACCATGTAAGCCAGCAACACCACCACCATGTAAGCCAGCAACACCACCACCATGTAAGCCAGCAACACCCGCCACCAAAACAGTCATGGAACACGCAAATCCTAATATAATCCAGCAATTTAGGAATTGATTATAAATACATCTGGCCGGCGGTATAATAAGGTCACCGGCTGTATAACATGCAAGAAAGAGCTATACAGTCCCAGGAATGATTTACCATTCAGGATCTTTACTACAAGACATCTAGTGTGCACTCGTGGTTCATACACCCTTGTCAACACTTCAATAAAACTTGGCCTTAGTATTCTATCATCAGGTCGAAAGCTGCTAGCTGGAACACAGCTGTGTGCTTTGCTACCAGCACACAGCTGGAACAGACAACAGCACCCAGCACACAGCTGGAACAGACAATAGCACCCAGCACACAGCTGGAACAGACAACAGCACCCA